TGATTTATTGCGTTAGAATACAATAGAATACAATATTAGACATATTATTGCAAAAAAATTATGAGGGACAGTCATTGGTTTCAAATTTCATGATTATGTTAGACGCAGTCTTACCTCTAAGTACAAAGGTGAAAGTTCTAGAATTTAAAACAGATTTCAGATTTCCTCTTGAAAATCTGACAAAACACAAGTATCTTTAGATGTTTAGGTGAGTGACAAATATGAGAAGATAGTTGACTGGAAAAATCATGTTTTCCGCGAAATTCCATGCCAAAACAAAAATTCTGCAAAAAAATGAAAATGCAAATTTCTGCAGTTCTTCTGCAGCGACGAGGAATCACGGAATACTAGTATGAGGGACTAATAGCCTACACCAATTTGACTATAAATAACTGTGACTAAAGACTTTTGAAATAAGATAAAGTAAAGCAAGTAGAATAAATAGTATTATAGGTTCAGAGTTCACAGGGTGTAGCTTCAAAAGTGACTTTTCTGCTACAAAAATGGTGGCCATTTTGAAAAAGGTGAGCTTTTAAACAAGGAGTCTTAGAGAGATGGGGTAATCTATTGATGATCTGAAACCAAGGTCGGAAAAATTGTCTTTATTCGAGTATTAATCTGGATTCCATCACTTGGTGCTAGATGAAGACCCTCTTTGGAAGATACAGACAGACCTACTGTCCATTTTGTCTAGGTGTATCCTCAACTCTTTCAGAAAGTCAAAGGTCACAACACAGTCAGTAGTATGCAAAGTCAGATTTTCATTAAAAAAATTGCAAAGTTGAAGCCCAGAATTTTAATGTTACAGGAACACTTTGAGTAGACATGTCACATAATTATACGGATTTATGAAGGATTAATAATATAAAGCACCTTTGGGTGTATACATATACGTGAACATAGAGGGGAACTGTCATTCTGATGAATATTACCTGGACTGCTGTTGGTAAAAAATGCATTGAAGAAGCAGGAAAAATAAATTCGGTAAAATAAGTAAAAATATAAGATAGAAACATGGAGTTAACATGACAAAAAAATTCAAATGTTACTTAGACTTCTCTTACAATACATATGCATAGAATACGTTAAACCATTGGCTAAACATAAGGTTGAAAAGCTAAAATCTATTTGTACGTATATCCATATATCCTCTAACTTTTACCACAGCTGAGAAATTAAAGCTCTCTCTCATCTAAACGTGACATACTAGCAGTGCAGTTTAGTCTTTTCTGAATGCTTATCTTATAACCATGTCATTGCAATGATAAATCATCTTATTGCAAACACAGATGACATGGATCTCTCAACTCCTTTGTGACTCGTAAATTTTTGGAAAAATGGAAAAAAATGAAAAGCGGAAATGAAAATTAACCTAAAAGCAAGAAAAGAAGCAACACCATCACATCATTTTGAAGGGCTGGACCCATACTTTGTTTTTTGAAAAAATATGTGAATATGCAAATCTGTAAACGCAGAATTATAGATCCTTTTGATTCCAGTGGTATTTGTACCATGACATAACTCCTATAATTAATTTTTTTGAAGCTTCGAGACTGAAAATTCCAGGAAAATCCCTATGGCGGTTTTAATATGGGGATTTTATTGTTTTTGCAATTTTTCGCGCGCTCACCAGCTTCACTGTTATTTTGTTAATACTTATCGAAAAGTCATGAACTTTTTTTTAAAATGTTTGTGCATTTTTATCACCAGGGGTCCCTTGAAGACCCCTTAGAACAAAATCAATCATACATGATTTTGCTTTATTTCTATTCTAAGGAGTCTCCAGGGGCCTCATTTCAATAAAACTGCAAGAATAATGCATTTTCTAAAAGTATGGACCAGAAGGAACTTTTTATAAAAAAAGATTCTTTGAATCTAATGACTCTGTGCAAAGTAAAAGGCACTTGAATCTCACATATCGTGAAAAAATATTGAAAACAATAAAATCCCATGTTAAATTGCCATTTATTTGACACTATCTTATTTGCATATTCACATTTTTTCAAAAAACATAAAGTATGGGTATAGCCCTTCTTCTTTTCTTGCTTCTAGATTCATTTACATTTTAGTTTTTCATTTCTTTCTATTTTCCCAAAATTTTCCAGTCATGAGAGAGTTAAGAGAAGGTCTTAAGTTTATGTCCTTGAGGCAAAATGATCATCAGGAACCTTCCCCAAACTAAACCTGAAGTGTATGCTGATGTTGTTTGCAAATTCTCGAAGGGGAAGATCAAGTGCCACTCAACTTAATCCAATCTAAGGACAATTCTAGCGGACCCATCCAGGTTGATGTTGCCCCTAGATTTAATCCTAGAGTCAATGACATGCAAATGATAGTGAGGAAATTGGTTAACAGGAGTAGCAAAATAAATGTTATGTCCTTGGCAACAAGTCTTGCCAAATCTAGCATCTCAATAATATCCATAATGTTCAAATACTGATTCATGGATCACAAGGCAGGCTACACTGCAGCATGAAAGTGAAGTCTCCAATAACAACAGACAGTCATATTCTATCCGAAAGAGATTCGCATACTCATAAAACCTCAAGTGAGAATCTAAATGACTATTTCTTTCCTTGGCCACTTCAATACAAGCTGCACTTTGGTCAAATCAATCATCCTGGATCTGAATGCTATTTATAATTGGTCTATGACATAGATAGGCTATTAAATATCAGTCCCAGAAGAAAAAAATTTGCTATATCCACATACAGAAATTGTGAAATGTAACACACCACAAGGAGATACATCAGCAATGGCATCATCTACACATAAAAAGGAAGAATGTTCCTCCACGAAGAGATGGTGTGTGTAAGAATATAAACCAGTCCTTATTCACACATTAAGCACTGTGGTTGTACTGCAGTACAGATCAAAACGTCTTACAATGTTGCAATTGGCCTTGACAGGTTGTGACAATATGTCTAGTTTCATTTGAGCAATGGGCTAGATATTCTAGTCACCAATGGATTCCTATCATTAGCTGCTACACCAGAGAGACTGAATACTGACACTACCGCAATAGTGATACTAATGTACAAACCTTCAATGAAGTTAATGAAACAAGGCAAGAGATGTTCACCCTGAAAACAGTGAAGACGATGGGGTCGATTGCTGCATTTCATAAGCACCATATGGCAATTGCAGTATCATCCTGTTTCAATTCTTAATGTGCATGTCGTGTACATGATGTTCGTTAAAGCGTCATACGGCAATTGCCGTATGATGCTACAATTTCATTCAAATACTCCCTTTTTAAATATCGCCCACAGACAGACTGTAGTATGTCTGAGGAAGGAAAGAGAAAGAGACCTGCTACAGGGCCCCAAGCGTAAGTTCTTCATCAAATCCTAAAGAAATGCATCGCCGTGTATCTATGAAGAGTACTGGGGAGAACATTTGTTCATAGTTTCAATGTTTAGTATTCGAATTCGTTTTCGGAAAATAGACGTTGGAAGCAAGTTAATGGATTATATAATCTTATCTCACCGTATTTTCCTGAATTCTATATGAGCATGTCAGAATACGAATATGATCTAGTCCCAATGGTTAATGCTATACCAACCTACATATTATAATGAACACATTATTAGAATGAATACAGCTAGGCCTTATACTTTTATCCAGATCCAAATAATCAATAAACTGACGGAATGACCAATGACTTATTGACCTTGCAAAGCGACGTGTATGCCTGTAAAATCTCACTACACAGAGCTCTGTCAGCTCGTTCACAAGTCACCATGACCTACAGGTTGTGATAACCTCCACGAACGTATTCTTTAAAATGTATTGCGGTCTTCAGCATGAATGATATGTCCCTTGTGGTATTGGAGTGTTAATATCAAATGTGAACATCGATTTACTCAAATGGGGCTTCCCCTTGCACCTTGTTGATGTTGATATTTTTCATTTAGAAACCAGAAATGGCAACATCATGTGGGTCCATTTTCTACGAAATATGAGGAAACACCCAGAAGAGAAATCAAACAAAAAAAGATCGGTTAAAGGGTATTATCAAGAAAGCATCACAGTTATGCAGCAGAACAGGAGGAAAAGTTTTCTTGCGATATGTAGATGAAAGTGGGAATGTGTCTGTGTATGTAAGTGACGATGAGACCTATGATAAATACTTACAAGAGGGTATTCATCCTGATGATGACGGAAATGACAGACGTTATAATTCCCTTGGTGAAACCTCCCACATGATAACCAAGAAGACCAAACTGTCTATTATCCAGGAACAGGTACCAATATTTAAAGGTTTATGATTTAATAATGTTCTAACTTAAAGAGTACGTTGAGTTGAAGAGTACGTTGAGTTGAAGAGTACGTTGAGTTGAAGAGTACGTTGAGTTGAAGAGTACGTTTGACGTACCTTAATAAAATCAATAGTTTAATAGACAAATGTTAATGTACACCTGTACACGCCACGAATTAGCCTGAAACTAAGCAAGTACTCACATCTACACATCAAAACCAGGACATTATTATGTCGAAACTTTTGTTTGAAATCATGGGAAATTCACATGAGTACACATAAACCTGAACACATTGATTTTAATTCCTGTTTGTTGTTACATCTTTTACACTTGTTATTTTTTTTATTTAAAATATAATATGTTAATGTTATTATACCAGTGATTATTGTTGTTTATTTGAAAGTTGTTTATAACAGAGGAATGTCAATTAATGTATTTATAACTTTTAAACTTTATGTATCCTTGTAATTGTTTTACATGAACAATACAATAAAATTTTATAAGATGTTATATTTTTATTCCTTATTCGTTATTATATATATGTGATTATATTTATATTCTCTATTTGTTGAAATATGATAATCGTATATTCTCTATTTGTTAAAACGTGATATTTATATTATTTTTCACTGAAAGAATGTATTGCTGTCTAATTGCTAAACAGACATTGACTTGATCGACAGATTGCTGCATGCGTGCAGCATAGCCTACAACCAGGCTTGAACTGGTGAATGTGTGCAGTATATGTGTATTCCGTCAATTTCACCTTTAAACTACTAGTCTTATTAACTGTTTATATTTTTTGTTGTCAATTTATCAACGTAGTAAGCGATCTAATAATCTTAATTTTCATCATCGCTCTCGTCGTCTGCTACTGGTAACAGGTTTTCTAACTGGTTTTTTAAACATTCCTCTACTTCCTTATAAAATGATATAAGCTCCTTTTTGATCTTTTATTTTGCCAAATTACTCTCAATTCCACAGAAGCTATTTCGTCGTCATCCAAAGAATTCAGCATATTTTCAATTTCCTTAATAAGAACAACTGATGTTTTGTTCTCAGTCGCCATAAAACTAGATCTCTCTTCGGGTGTGACAAATATTATCCTGCACTCTGCACTTGAAATTGGTTTAGGCTCTTCATCAGAGTGCTCAATTGCGTTTTTGATATATTCAGATCTAATATTTGCTGCGTCGTTCAGAAAACTTCTCAAGTTTTTATCTAACGCTTTTCCATCTATACCTGTATGTTCATCGTCTTCTTCATAGGGCTGCAACAGATACGATGTACTTCGTATTATAGTCTTAATTCCCTTTCTTCTTCATCAAATGTTTTCGGACTACGCTTATTAGCACTAATTAATTGTGGGTCGTTTTGACCACAGTTTTTGAAAACTGTTGATCTTATGTTTTCCAAACTGTCAAAATTTGCGCACATTCTGTCCCAGTCGTTTAGAGTGGGTCGTTGGGGCATCCAAAATTGCCCCTTTTTATTGATTGTTTCCAGCTTGAAATCTGCCCCTTCTGCGCTGTTCGGGATTCCTGAAGTATTGATGCACATTGCTTTATGCACTATTTCACGTACTTGTGGGGGCATCTTTTCATACAGTATAATGTCTCTTGCGTCTAGTTCCCTGTAAATGGGATGTCTCCTCGCACACCAAACTTTACTAAAAATCGTCCTGGCAGCGATCATCATCTCCGGCTTTTGCGACTGTACTCCCTCCCTGTACGTAAATATTTGGACCAGAAGATTAAATGTTGAGTCAGCGATGAATCTATAATTGACACTTGTACATTCATTCACAAAATTTCTAAAGTCTGCACAATTCAACGTTGAAATGGTTCCCTTATTCTGCAATACCTGTCGCACATAGGGGAGTACGAGTTCATCCACAAGTGCGTTCCTAGCAATTGTGATCAGTTGAAATCCTTTGTGATAGTCCGATACTTTCTTAGCGTATGCTTGAGCAACTTCAGATTTAAAGTTGAATAGTTTAACCATTTCTTTATAAAAAACCTCCCACATCAAGGCAATGTATGCTCTTACCATATTCATTTCGATATGCCCTGGGCCAGGAATCATCAAGATCCAGTCGAACTCGTAAACAAAACCCTCAATTGGATGTTCATTTGACGGGCTGTTGTGTTCATTCTCGGTAAATGAGCACTTGGTAGAGTGCTTGATGGCATCACCAGTTCCCCTTACAAGTTGACCACATTGTAGACACCTTTATGTGCAATTTATTATTCATTGACATAACAAGTACGGTAAACCGTCACACACAACAACAACCCATTCCCTACTTCCACCATATTTAGCTATGTTCAGTTTTTCACCAATGTCCAACAATACCTTTTTCGCATGCCTTATATGAACAGGGGTTTTCAAAAGTTGGCTGGAACACATGCGTTGGAACTCTGGGTTCTGCGTTCACCTCTTTTATCACATGATTCAATTGAGGCTTTTTTATTAATGTTTTTCCAGTACATGTTTTGTGTACTTTGTATCGGACTTCCCCTGCCCGAGTAGGTGTTTTCTCCGATTTAAAATTGTTAGGAACATTTGATTGATTTGGCTCGTGTGGAACATCAGGTGTTTCTGAAACACCGAGTTTTGTTCTACAGTTTGGGCACAACCGTTTTCGTTTCGTATCCCCATCTTGCCACACTCTTGACAATCTTTAAACGTGTTGTTTTACTGTACAGTAATAACGTTTGTATCTATTTCATCCTGATAAGTGGTTCCATTTTCCACTTGCTCAGAATACACTTTATGCATTCGTTCTTTAAACGTGTTGTTTTACTGTACAGTAATAACGTTTGTATCTATTTCATCCTGATAAGTGGTTTCATTTTCCACTTGCTCAGAATACACTTGATGCATTCTTTCTTCCAAAAATGTATCGAGCTTTTCATCGTGATGTTGTTTGTAAATATCAGCTCTTTTAATTCGCTCAACTTGTTGGTTTGACAGTGTTCTGTGCTTCCACGTTCCTGGTGCTATATTTGGATTCTTTTGCGCGCCAGAGTTTCCTATAGTAAACGTGCATATCATTGTTACAACACTACATTCGAACTTCTTGTTTTTACTTACGTTCCACGTTTTCTTTAATATTTGATTGTTATCAAACGCTGAAACAACATCATCATTCACTATCTGGAACCCAGGGTCGATTGCTATGTTAGTGCTAAGATTACATAGCCATTGTTTTACCTTGTCGTATAAACTGTAAGGACCCGTTTTTGATAGTAGCGTGAGAGCCAATTTTGAACGTGTCATACTATACAGTAAAACTGACTCCCTGAAATGAACAGGGAGCAGAAATTGGAGTGACGTTAAATCGATTATGCTCTCTACCGTTTTGCAAAGCTTATAACAAAGGTTTTGATCGTATGACTCATGGTTAACCTTTACCATGCTGCCTTATTTCAGCAAATATATCCCACGCAACTGGCTTATTTTTCAAAGAGTGCAAAAAATGATATGCCTGGACTAAATAATTAATATCTCAATAACTACTGAATGAATCTGGATAAAATTTTCACAAAGGGAAGATACAGTGGCCTGGCTCATGAAAAAAATGTTCTCATGAATTTATTCGTACATTAACACGATTGGGCATAAATATACCATGAATACTCCTCCGGAATCCGCCGCTCCGCCTCTTCGTCTGGTCAGAATCCAAATCTGAATTTGCAGCGATCGAATGTTCAATTTTTCAATTCAGAAAATATTCTAGTCTCTATTTTCGATGACCGTTATCGGCTTCCAAGAGCCTAAAGAGCTCGAAATCGCAATCCATTTCCTCCACATTTTCGTTGTGATCGTATTTGTCCACCATTTTGTACGATTCGTTCACTAAAAACGACTAAAACACTGTTTAAATTGTTGAATTGAGAATTATTTTTCGAAATATCGCCATTCTAGGTCAACAGGAAGTCATGTTAGGCACTGAATAAATCGGGCAATCTAATTGGACAATACGAATGGCGCGAAAAAGTAAAGTTTTTAAAAGTTTGAAATCGGGCGTACGGGTCCGCCGGCAGTTGTGAGAGACATTTTAGTCTCGGCAGACTCGTCCGCCGGCAGCACGCTAAAGGTTAAATAATTTGTCATGTTGCTCTACGGTATTAACTTGATTAACACCAGATACACCCAACAGTAGCTGCTTCAACAAATGTGGCGCGCTTTTCTTTAAATATTCATTGGTATCTAGATTTTGAATGACATCTATGTTATCGTTTGCTGAAACAGCTACTTTACATGTTTTAGAGTGTGTTTGAATGGTATATTTGAGCAGGCGACCGATTAGGGTGTTGATAGCTTATCTTGTGGTAATACTTGAATGTCAGATTCTAATGTTTCTGAGTCCAAGTCTATAATACAGTGCCTTGTTTGAGATGATGCATTTACTGTAGAAGAAGTCAAAGTGTAACTATGCTCAGATAAGCTTCTAATCACATTGTTTGCAGTTGGATTTGGAGACTGATATGATTCTTCTGATGTTATTTGATGGCACAGAATGTGTTCGATGCACCCACTACAGAAGTGAACGACACGTTTTGTTGGATATTTACTGACATCTATGTCACACAGTTTGTACAGTTTTTCCAAAATGTATTTATCGATGTATTTGGAGCTATGCAGTTTAGTTCCTTCAGCAGGAATTGACCACTCATTGTGAAATTGTGACGAGGTGCATCTTTTAGGAAAAGGCATTTCTGGAATTAATTTGATTGAACTTAATTTATGGAATACCGATCGTTTATCAGAATATCAGTTTAATCAAAGTATAATAATATAAAAGCAAGAAGCCAACACATAAGTCTATTTTGAAGTTTCATTTATACAGTGGAACAGACTGAACTGCCGGACATGTGATCGGTAGCCAGGAAGACATGTTTTACGCATTAAAGCATGTAAAACACGTCCTCATTGCTGCTTATTAGTATTACACATCCGACTAGTTGCATCTGTTATAAAGTGATTTATATACGTCTATATTTCTAGGATTACAACTCACATATTCACATATTTATCTACACACATATAGATCACAATAGACCTGGCTAGTACAAAGAATTTGCAATAACGTTTTTATCCGTACCTACACTGATACTAGCCTGCTTCGATACAAACATACTTTATTGTCTTAGTCTGCCATGTCTGCTTAGTCTGATGTCTGTTGGTACATAGTCTTTAAGATCACGATCACTACTTTAGTAACATGGCTGATATAATGTGAGGTATGAGCAGAACTTCATCTTCATAAAAACATGAAAAGGGGAACCCTGGAATTAATTTGGTATTGTAACTTACTGGCTTAGCCAAGATACAGACAAACCAGATGACAACTGAAAACCCATCCCTGTCTGTATAATTTTTTACTTTATTTTAAGGTTTCAAATGTACATGTAAAGTGGAAGGGGAATCACCCACCAGAAGGAAGTCAACTATGTCTGAGATCGGACATGAAAATTATGATGATTTTTTGCAGCGCATTTTAACAGAAACACAAAACAAAATTGTAGTCCTACACTTTGAAGATGTATTATTTAGTTTCCACACATAGAAAACAAAATGCACAAATGGAAAATGGCCTATGTATACTCTATTTTATTAACATGCTGGAATTTATTTTCCACTACAATATGCTAACTTCCAAGAAACAAATACTCACCAGGTTTTTAAATTTCCCATTTGAATTAACGTTTTTTTAGAGCCTCGGCGATTTCCGTATAGTCCGGCAATTGCCGGTCCATACGTTATTCTACGTATCACACGTTAAATGACCAATATATCTACACTGGAAAACAACAATACTCCACAAAATTGAAGATGCACTGTTACAGCATACAAAAAACGGCAGTACTTCAAGCAACATATATTTGGGGACAGTTTGCCACCATGGATCCCTAGGTCCCCTCAGCTGCAGATTGGGGTTTGGTAAAGCAGGATGACAAATGGTGCCCCCTCTGGAAAACATTACCTCAGACAGCTGATATATCCCAGATGCTTGTACGGTGTTCATGCAAGTCAAATTGTGCTGCAAACTGAAACTGTAGGAAAAAAGCAAAATTTCAGTTTGTGTTAGTGAAGGACTATGTACAGGGTGAGCCAAAGAAGGTAAGGTAGCCCAATCTTAATAATTCAGTCATCCAGTATGGGTTTAAGTCATATTTGGCACTAACCTTCAATGTTCTTTCATTCAAGTAAGTTTAATAAGTCTACTTCTAATAGTCTTGATTTACCAATATTAGCCGATATGAATCCCAAGAATTTTACTTTTGAGGCTATTTCATAGAAAATGTGTATATTAACTAGGGGTGAGACGACAACCCGAGGACTCGCGGGTTTGGGGCTTCGAGTCGAGTCGAATCGAGTCGAAGTTGATGAATCGAATCATTTTCGAGTTGAGAAAAAAATTCGAAAAAATAAAAAAATTCAGAAAAATACTGTCAATATGCATGTTTTTACTCGATATTGCGTTGAATATATAAGTTTCAATGACTTGGATATGCTTGTATTAAATTATTATATTGTATGTACACATAAATGAAAGAATATATGTAATAAAATCAGAATAAACTTACGACGAATTGTGTTTGTTTATATTTCCGGCTTTCCACCATTGACGCATTAAAAATACGAACGGTCAAAAGCGATGTTGTTCGCACTTTATCTAAAATGTATAGTGTATTGGCGATCATTTGATTCATATTTTTAGTAAAATGCATCATCAGTTTACTTATTTATCGATGGGAAAATAGTATTTCATATGCCTATAACACGATTAACTTAGTGGGAAGCATTAATATTGCGAATATTTAAACAGTGCGTGTTCATTCAGCAATTACACTGCCGTTCGTATTTCTAGCGTATAACCTAACTCAGCAAAATAAGAAAAAAAACATGCCGAAGTCAATTCCTTTGAAAAACCCATCAAAGAATCTAAAAGCCCCCGTTTGGGAGCATTTTGGCTTCCATCCAAAAGAGAAGGGAGTAGTGGTATGCCGTATATGCTTGCAAGAGTATGCCTACGTGAGCGGTAAGTGGAAAACAACCCAGGGATTCAGACTTGCAATTTTTCAGCCCTCGACTTTTCTCAGTTCCATGTAAATATTCCTTGTGAAATCGTTTATGGTATTCGGCTATTTGCATACAGTATCATTTTTATTGTTTTAGGTAGTACATCAAACCTCATTAGGCATATGCGGGTGGTGCATCCCAATATAGATTTGAGGAGCAAAGGTGACAGTCAGTCAGGCAGTCAGTCAGGCAGTCAGTCAGGCAGTCAGTCAGGGACAGGGGATGAAACTAGACCTAGTCTTGGCAGATCATCATCATTTCCATCAGGCCAGCAGACCCTCTTTCAAATGGGGTCTAGCACAGTCGCCCTAAATAGCAGTCGTGGTAAAACAATAACTGCTGCAGTTGGACTGTTTATTGCTAAAGACATGAGGCCATACTCAATCGTAGAGAACGAGGGATTCATCAACATGTGCAATACCCTCGACTCAAGCTACAAAATGCCATCCCGCTGCTACTTCTCCAGGAATGTTTTGCCTAAAATATACCGATATGAGGAGAAAATAACAAATGAGGTCAAGGTAGCTCCATCTGTCGCCTTGACCACTGACGGTTGGACTTCAAGAGCTAGACAGCTATGTAACAGTCACAGCCCACTTCATACCACTAGGCAAGTGGAAGATAAAAAATCGTGTTCTTCAGACAAGGAAACTTGGAGAATCCCACACTGGGCAGAATATTGGTGAAGTCCTGAATGAGTGTTGCACGGAGTGGAGGGTCAAGCAACCTTCGCCATTAACTAGCGACAACGCTAAGAACATGGACTCAGCAGCTGTCGTTTGCAAAGCTGACCCCCATATTGGCTGTCTGGCCCATACAATCAACCTAGCCTCACAGAGAGGTATGGTGATAATCAGCAATGTCACAGCAAAGATCAGGAGACTGGTTGCTTTCTTTCACAGGTCAACCACAGGTAACATTGACACATTTTTCTTTATTAATTATTTCTTTAAAAATGTAACAAGTGTATGAATAGAATTACTGTTAATAATATTTACATGAAAAACAAATTATTAATTAAGGTGGTCGTACTTACTTTTAGAGATCATCTTCAAATAATTTGTAAAAATCCTACTTTTATTTAACACAGCTATCATTACTTAATTGTATGCTTATACTTTTTGTATTTCAGCTGCAAGTTGTTTGAAGGAGGTCCAGCTCCAACAAGACAAGACACC